TGCACTGGCTGCGTCCTCTGCCTGGAATGCTCTTGCCCTACTTCCTCGTCCTGTAGGGCTGAGCTGAAACACCACCTCTTCGGGGAAGCCTTCCTGGCTCTCTACCCCTCAGTCACTTCTTTGCACCAGGGTTTCTTATTCCTCACCCTATTGGCATTTGGGGCTGGGTGATTCCTTACATAGGGGCGTCTCACGCATTGTAGGGTGCTTGACAGGATTCCCGGTTGTGACAATCAAGGATGTCTGTGGGTATTACTAACCAGTCAAATCACCTTCGGTTTTACTTTATGTGCTTCTTGTCCCCACTCAAGCAGAAGCTCTGTGAGGGGGCAGGGACCTTGCCAGTTCCCACTGTCGTAGGCGGCTGGCACTCAGTAGGTAGTCAGTGCACGTTCCTTGAAGAGCTGTGTCAGGTGCAGGGTGAGCGCTGGGGGAGTCGCTGCTGTGTTGTGGCCTGTTGGATATCAAAGGCACACGCAGGGGCTCAAATTGAAGTTTGTTGAAGGAATGACATTCTTTCCGGTTGGAGTTCGTTGGCTCCCTTTTATAGGTCAGGAAACAGGCTGAGAGAGGGATAGCTACTTTGCCAGCATCACATAGCAGGCAAGAGGCTGAGTTGGGGTGGGGTATTAGAATCCAGGAGTGTCACACACCAAAGCCCTTCTTGGGGGCGGGGCGCCTGGGTGGCTGAGTTGGTTGGGCATCCGGCTTCCACTCAGGTCATGATCTCGCAGTCCCTGGGTTCGAGCCCCACGTCGGGCTCTGGGCTGACGGCTCAGAGCCCGGAGCCTGCTTCGGATTCTGTGTCTCCCTCTCTCCCTGCCCCTCCCCTGCTTGCGCGCGCTCTCTCTCTCTCTCTCTCTCAAAAATAAATAAACGTTAAAAAAAAATTTTTTTAAACCCTTTTTGGGGGCAAAAGGCTTCCTTACCCTCTTTGAAAAGGGTTTGGTATAAGGGACCAAAGTCTCACTAGAGAGACCCTCCAGGTGACCTGTCCCCCTCTATCTCTTCCAGATCGTGAAGATCAGTCCATTCTCTGCACGTGAGTAATCCTGGAGGACTTCCTGGAGGAGGCAGGGTCCTGGCTGGGTGTGGCTCTGCTTGGAATGGGCAGGTCTTACCCGGCACCACGGTCCACCCTTTTGCTTCCCCCTTGTGTTCTCCCCCATAGTGGGGAGTCCGGGGCTGGGAAGACAGAAAACACCAAGAAGGTCATCCAGTACCTCGCCCACGTGGCATCGTCCCCAAAGGGCAGGAAGGAGCCAGGCGTACCGGTGAGTTACCTGCCTTGGGACCCGCTCTGGACCCTGCCACCAGCAGTGCCTCCTCCATCCCAGGCTCTGCTTTCCCCATGATCCCCTGCCTCCCGTGTGGAGGGCCACAGCTGTGAGCCTTCATCCGGCTGCCCGTGCTGCCTGCGCGCCTGCTGTGTGCCTGGAAACGGAAATTCGAGGGCCGGTTCTTGACCCCCCCCTTAGCCCTTGGAGCGGCACCCAGCACGTGGTAGGCGCTGACGGTCTTGAGCACCTACTGCGTGTCGGGCCTGATCTGAGCACCTGCAGTCCTCAGTGTACTTCAGCAGGGAGCGTCTACGTAGTGCCCGTCTCCCTTCTTAACGTTAACCCAACGCTCCAGTGAGTGGGTGTCGTTTTCCTGAGTGAAAGAGGAGGAACCGAGGGCAAGGCTGGGGTGCCTTGGTTGTCGGAGGTCACGCTCCCAGGAAGGGGCTGGAGAGGATTCGAACCCGGGCCACCCAACCCCACGTGCCCAGTTTCGCAGCCCCTCACATCTGTCCCCACCCTGCCCGCCACCCGGGACCTCCGGTTCACCTGTGTGTCTGTCCACGTTCCATGTGCCGCGTCCCGGTCTGTGTCCTGGTCCGTGTCTCGTGTCCCGTGGCTTCCTCAGGCTGCCATCACCGTGTCTTATGTGAGTAGCCGGGAGTCGCCTCAAGTCCTGCCCTCGTGCCCTGCCCCCCGGGTCAGCCCCACCCACGTCCTCCCGGCAGACAGGTCCAGGGCATCGCCGGCCACCGGGGAGCCGTGCTCCTGTTTCTGTGTGCGTGCCGGGCCGTGTGCCGTCACTTAATGCAGCCCCACTGTGTACATGCGGGGCTCCCCACTGCTGTTGTGGGGCGCACACCGGGTTCCATGCTACTGTGTGGTGTGGCCCTACCATGGCCCACGCAGCTTGTTGATGTCAGAATTCTTTCGAATGTTCAGAGTCAGACCTGAATGGTAGAAGGGACCTACCGCCTCTTGATTGCCTACTATGTGCCAGAGTTTGAAGCACGTCATATTGATAGTACAGATCTTTTTTTCTTTTTTAAAAAAATTCTTATTATTTATTTATTTATTTATTAAAAAAATTTTTTTTTAACATTTATTT